GTCAAAGACAGTGAGATGGAATCCACCACATTCTATGGAAAGTGACTATTGACAACATGTAGCAATGTTGTCGGGAAAAGGATAAATGAGCAAAAGTATAGAATCCACCCTTAGTGCATTTCCCTTGCAATAACAACTAAGAATATGTTGAGGCTGAAAGAAAGCAAAAATACATATTAATTAGAATTCAGGTGGAAAAAAAGAACTCTAGGAAAAGTGATTATGTATCTAATAAGAAAAGACTCTGTAATTACACATTTTTATCTCTTACTGAAAATTATGTGCATAAAGCAATATCTTTAAAATTGTGTTGTTGTGGCTATAGTACATAAATTGCCATATATTTGACAATAAAAGCCAATGAATGAAGCTATATTTGAAAAAATAAATGTCACAAGATGGCAATTTCAATCTACAGAAAGAAATAAAGAAATGAATAGAGACACAGTAAATAATAAACTTAAAAGAAAACTCAATGAACATATTTAAACTTTCCTTCCTTCTCTGAGATTTCTAGAATGACTTACATTTACAAGGTAAATATTATGACAATATATTATTGTATCCGATATATATATACATATATACATATATATTATACACACAAATAGATATACATACACACATGTAAATTTGAATCATAGCTCAACAATGGGAAAAGGTAAGAGATTCATATAGTAGTAAGGTTCTCATATCTTGGTCAGGTATTTTGAGGTTGATCCTCAGAATACAAAGCAAACTTTTTAGTTTACTGGAATTAAGTTAGTATAGAAATGAGATAGAAATCTTGTAAATTGAGTTGTACACCATAAGACCTCAAGGAACCACTAAGAAGCTAGCTCAGAAAGCATAGTTAAAATCAATAAAGGAATTATAATAAGATATTAGAATATGATCAAGGAAGATGAAAGGACACAGTAAGGAATTAGAGAAGAATAAAATAGAAGGAGATGATGTTAATCACTTATCACCGTGACCGATTCCCAACAACAAAAAAGGCAACTTATAGAGGAAAGATGTTTTTGGTACACAGTCTGAGAAGGCCTAGTGTTTTGTGGTTAAGAAACAGGGTATCAGGAGTGTTCTATCTCTGAATTCAGGAAGCAAACAGAGATGGCTCCTGTTGCTCAGCTGGTTTGCTGCTTTCAACTCAGTCCAGAGTCCTAGTCTATGATGTAATTCTGAAGATGTTCAAGGTAGTTCTTTCCTTCTCAGTTAAAGCTGTGTAGAACCAGCCGGGCATTGGTGGCATACACCTTTAATCCCAGCACTCGGGAGGCAGAGGCAGGCAGATCTCTGTGAGTTCGAGACCAGCCTGGTCTCCAGAGCGAGTGCCAGGATAGGAAGCTCCAAAGCTACACAGAGAAACCCTGTCTCGAAAAAACAAACAAACAAACAAACAAAAAAGCTGTGTAGAACCGTGCTCACCATTACATTCAGGGGTGTATCTCCTGATGGGGGTGTATCTCACTCCTTTTAATTAAAGTATCAAAACACCATCACAGATAGCATTTAAGTAGTAAAATGCAGTCTGTTAATGGTTTCATCTCTCAGTCTTAAATCATCTATATGACATATTTATAAATTGAGCCATTTTCTTTACAGATTCATACCCCCCAAAAAAATTAGGATTCTAGTCCAGGCAGTCATTGTTCTTGAAATCATTTAAGCAAATGTATATGAACCCATACAGCAGATTTTGTTTTAGTTGACTTCTGAATTAAAATATCTAGTTGACAGACACTGAAACCCTGAACACTGTGTTAGTACTAGAACATGCAGAACCTCATAAAGAGATACAGACTGAGATTCACCCCTTATTTCAAATCAGTGACTGTTCTACTCCATGGTCACCTCATATTTATTCTGTGTCGCTATTAATATTGACAGAGCACTTGCTTGCATTTATACTTATGTTATGGCATTACAGATATTCAGAGGAGAAAGAACAGCCATTGATTCTGAAATATATTTAAGTTGAATGCTTTAAAATCACTCATTTCATGGCTTGCTTAACATCCTAATATCTCTCGAGGAGTAGACTACATTTGTGTGGTTATGTGTAGAGGGTGCACAGTGATGATTAATGAGGTTCATAATTACACACACACAGATCATTACATATTTATTTTGACAATGGATTATTTAGAATACATATACTATATTTGCTTATGTAAATTGGTATTTATGAATAATATATGGGTATAAATGATAGCATAAGTACACACACACACACACAAACAGAATGCCACATTTTATCATGAAACATTATAGCTAAGCTTTGACACCAAGAATCATGATGTGTTCGTAGCTTATTTCTTTGCAGTTTGGCAGATGGTTAAGCACACAATCCCAAGAACAATACTAGCTGCATTCAGTCTTCAGCTTTGTTATGTATTTGCTGTGTGGTCCAGTATCCATATAAAATATAACAATGTCTTTCTCATGGTCTTCCTAAGAATTAAGCGACATCTTAATGGATACATAGTCCTAGAAAGCACCCCAAAACATCAAATTCTCAATAAATTTTAGATACGATTTTGATCTTCTATTTTTTTTGCCTTTCTGGGAGATAAAATATTTCCTTTCATACCTGGAGCATGTGATAACTTAGATTGTGATTCCTGCCTAACAGACCACCATGTGCCTTTTATTATGATGGTTCTTATAGCTGACACACTTTTCTCTATGGTCCCTTTAGAATTTTTAATTTACAATACATAGCTTTAGGTGGTATGGATTCTACCTAAGTGATGTTTCTTTCCAGAAATCTGAATGGGTTCATTTACATTACTTTCAATAGACCTTCAGTTTGTTGTATATAGGTAGGGTTGTGGCAATTTGAAAGTCTTTCTTGTAGTCTGCCCATGTCTTATCTTTCTAGGTTCCAGTTCTTTCTGTACTTAAAAATTGGAATCTTCATCTCTTTCTGATGCTATTAAGTCCTCAACATCTTGAAAGTGCTTGGTACACAGTAATTAATGAATCAAAAATAATCTTAAGTTCTCAACTATTTACTTACTTCCCAAGTCCTACCAAAGTCTACTAATTTTATACAAGTAGGAGAAAAGACCTTCCTTGGTATCAGTGGCTCATTAGTTCTAGATCTCTGAGGACACCAACTCTGGTTTCTAAAGCAATATAAAAGGATGCAGAATTTGAATATAACCTTCACATATACTCTTATATAATTTACATAATTTCTAGATTGCTTTCCATGTCTAATGTACTGTAAATGCTATGTAAATAGTTGTTATAACCTGTTGTTTGAGAGATAATGTCAAGAAAGCAATTCTATACCATTGTGTCTGTTTAGTACAGATGACTTTTTTCAAACATGTTTTATTCATGATTGGTTGAATGTACAGATATAAAACCTGTAAATACAGCAAGGTGACTGCTCTAAATAGAATAATTCATTATTATCTTAGAATTCTTTTCTTCCTTTCAGTTTTGCTTATAGAAATGTTATTTAGTCTTTGGGTAAGACCTGATGCTATCACTTCTTTCATTGTAACCCCCTACAAGACCTGTTCAGATACTTCTCTGCCTGCCTTAGTCACCTGCAGACCATATTCCTACTCTTTTAAATGTTACTACCAGATATAAGCTTTGTTATTTACCCATTTTATGTTTTAATATATTTGTACCTACTGGGTCTCTCTTTATCATAGGGTTTCTATTTTAGCTCTGTATTCACCACAGAACATGGTGTAGCAACTATTTGATAACTGTAAATGTTTAATAAAGAACATACTTGGTATATGATACTGAGTTCAGATACAGGCTACCTTCATAGGAGTTAAAGTGATTTCTTTACTATTCTATCTGGAGATATTTGCCAATGAATGATCTTCATGGTATTGTTAAAAAAAGTTCATACACATTGTATCTAATTAATGCCTCATAGCCAGTGTCACTTTGAGATGCCGTTGTCTCACTCCGAGGATTTTTTATTTGAAAGTAGGAAAATTAGACCTATAGTGCAACATTGATAGGATATTTGATGACAGGAATGGGGGGGGATTCAGATTTTCTAAACAATTACTTGGTCTGGAGAATGAATCATGTCAAAATGGGTTCCCTTCATTCCCTATGCAAGCCCTCTTTGAATACAAATGAAATTGTTGAGGGTACTACCATCACTCTGCTGTTGTTCTAGTGCCAGTTCCCATTACTCATTGCATGGTCATAGCACTTCTTGCCACGACACATAGTGGGTGTCAGCTTGGTCCACTATATGGTCCTATCTCAGAAATCTTTCTAGCACTGCGTTTGTTTGATGTGATGGCTATAAACTTTTCCTCCTTTATTTCCCATAAAAACACTTACACAGATTTCAATTGTTCACTTTGCACCTTTGATTTATCTAAAACACATAGAATTACAATTACTAATTCTTGTAGGGTATTTTGCAAAACACATTTATGGCTACTGTTTAATTCTGTGCCCTTTACAGGTCTTTGAGTGGCCTAGGGCAAGTGACACATCATAAAATATGATTTAAAAAATAGCAAAACAGGAGAAAATATGGAATCCATTTTGTGTTGACCGACTGCTACTGCATGAAAAACAACTAATGAAAAAATTTAAAGAATAAGAATGAATAAAAACCTAGAACAGTGGTTCTCAATCTTACTAATGCTATGATCCTTTAATGCTGTTCCTTGTGTTGTAGTGATCCCCAACCATAAAATCATTTTGTGTACAATAATATATATATATATATACTGCTGATTTAAACATTTACTGCTGATTTGGATTGTAATGTGAATATATGGTATGCAAAATATCTGAAATCTGACTCCCAAAGGGGTGACCCATAGACTAGACCATTGACCAAGACTTTATGTGACTTGCTCCAGATCACACAGTCAAAAGGCAACAACAATAGAATTCTATCAAATGCAGGATATCTCATTACTCAGCCTATAAGGAAAAAGGGCCTTTCAAACTCTAATGTTCCTTGTGCTAATGATCTCCATTCTCTCTTTTGGCAGAGGCATCCATCCTGAGCTACGACGGCAGTATGTACATGAAGGTCATCATGCCTATGGTGATGCACACAGAAGCAGAGGATGTGTCCTTCCGCTTCATGTCACAACGAGCCTATGGGCTGCTGGTAGCCACTACCTCCAAGGACTCTGCAGATACACTTCGTCTAGAGTTGGATGGTGGGCGTGTCAAGCTCATGGTTAACTTAGGTATCGTATGAAGGACCCTCTGTCATTCTGTTTGGGCTTGTCTTCCCTTATTTTCTGAAATTCATTATTTTCATTGACTTCTTTGTTTCTTAAAAGTTAGCTGCTCACCTCTTGTTTAATAGACCATGGATTAAAAACCAACAGCAACAAATACCTTCCCTGTTTCTGCATGAGGGTTTGATGTCAATTTTTTGTCTCTTGACAGTGGTGATTTCTTTACTAGATTATTCGTTTTCTAAGTTTCCTTTCTTGATTCTTTGGAACTGTTTAGCTTTGTGTAAAACACGCTACTTTGGTCCATCTTTTGATCAATCAATCATATTCCCATCAAGTCCAATTCCAAGGTCACCACTCAAAACAGTCAAAGCTGAGGACAGGGGCAGGGAGGAGAGGAGGCAAAATGAGGGAGTGAGTGGGAGAGAGCTTCACTGTGTGTTGTTTCTAGTTCCATAGTGACTACTCCTATGGATGATTCTGGTACCCTGGATATTACTGAGATCTTAAATTTATTCCTAGGAGGACATTAGGTTACATTGTCCCTTTTATCCCACTGGAAACAGTCTTTCTAAGTTCATAGCCCCATGTTGAGTACACCTATTTTCTTCCCCAGTGTTTTAATCACTTGTCAGCAGCCCTTTTGATATAAAGACTGTTGCATCCCAGTGTCCACCAGTTGCCCTATTTTCTCCATGTCATGCATATGCATAACCCTAGATTTGAGAAAAAGGATAATAACTCCATGTTTGTAGCTTTATTGGGTCAAGATGTGTTTTTTTTTTCCCTCTGCAGTCACCTATAATGGATACTTATGAAATCCTCCTCCTTATGGCTTCATATTCTTTCCTGCTATTGACTCTCTTTACTGCATCCTAATTATTTTCTGTGGAGAATGGAAACCTCTTTGTTTTTAAAGGAAACAAATACCTCTGTTTGTGCTCTTTTCACTGAGCAGAAAGCCAAGTACTCAGCAATGTCAGAATTAATGATTTAACTGAGTCCATACTTCTAAGCTAGTCGATTTGTGTGGGCTTGTAGACCAATTAGAATATAGAGATCTATTAGAAAGATTTGGGAGAGCCACAGAAAAATGTACCTTACTCTAGACCATAGAAAACCTTAGCTGTCTGGGATGAAAAGTGGGGTTTTAAATCCACAGCACTCTTATCTTCTATCAGGTCAACTGCTACTAATTTCAAAATATGAAAACCTTGAGGACATGGGACTGTTTTGAGTAGTGGCTCATTTAGTTCTGTGATTTTATTTTACCTCTATTTTCTAGCATTTGTGACAGTGTGCACTTTTTTTTTTCTGTCTAGCCTCACCTGCTGTTTGTTTTTAGTGTCTCTTGGTTTACTTTTGTTTGTGTATGTGTACGTATTTGATTCTTTCAGGGCTTTTATTTTCCTTTTGTTGCTAGATCTTTTATTGTGTGTGTATTTGTATTCTTGAGTTTTCAATCCTCTCACCATCCACCATGGTAAATCAAAAGATGGTATTCAACCCTTCAAAGGCCCAAAGCCTGCGGCCCGCATAGCAAACAGCCTTGAGAACAGAGAGTACTGAGAAGCCTGCAGGGACTGGCATACCTCTGTCCTTACCCCTGCCCTTCCACAGCATCCTCCCCACCTTAACTGGACTGAACCAAGCATGTTATGCTATATAAAACCAACAACCAGATACCATTACTTACTTCTCTGGAAAAACAGCAAAGAAAACAAAGACTAACCCAAAAGCATAACACAAGAGACAAAACTGAACACCAGACACTACCAAGCTCACCCTCAGAAAGGCAAGACAAGGCATTTCAGGGAGTGTATTTGTGTTTTTCAACAGATACTGTTTTTTGCATTACATGCTGTTGTATAAAAGCTAGAAAGGCAATCTCTACAGGTGTCACCTTACAAGGAAAACTGAAGTTAGAGAAAGGGATAAAAGATGAGCAATGAGAAAATGAGATGAAAGCGCCCCTCATTTCAGATTCAGATCACACACACACACACACACACACACACACGCGCGCACGCGCACGCGCACGCGCACGCACACGCGCACACGCGCGCGCACACACACACACACACACACACACACACACACACACACACACACACACACACAAAGTTAGTCATAGATCCTAAATGTATCCCTAGAAGCATGCCATTCACACCTTTTCTATTTTAAACTGTGGCCAAACCTGGGACCCAAGCCTTCTAAAGGGATAGTATTTGCCTTTCATCATTTGTTAGCTCACCTTTCATCTCACTCCTGCTATGCTGAGACAGCTTGCCTGAAAAGGTCTCAGTAGCATTAGAGCTCTCTTCTCTCAAAAGAGAGAGGTGTTTGCTTCTGCCCAAGGAGTGTGGTCCATCCCAACTATGGCTTTGGGTTATTTAACTTTCTTTCAAGCCTGACATAGGAAACTAAACATTAATCCTTGTGCTGTATACATGCATCATATTCAGGATCTGTCCAAAGGGTTTTTTATTTTCACCCCCTCTTCCAAGTATTTTCTTCTGCCTTGTCACAAACATCATTTCTTTGTGACTAGAAGAAAATTATCTCCAAGCACAGTTTGCCTTTCCGCAACCTACTTTGTTCTCTTCCTATATATTATTTTTCCTCAGGGAAGGTCTCACTCTGTAGCCAAAGTTAGCCTGGAGGTCTCTGTAGCTCAGGTTAGTCTCTTGGATGTTTATATTTCAAGTTGTTCTCCCTTTATAGAGCACACAAAATTGAAATTGCTAACACGTGTGACCTCCTATGAGAAAAACCTAGTATCTATGTTTCTAATGTAACATAGCTTCTACATGCCAAGGAAGCTAGAGTTTTTCTAAGGTTTTGTTTTCTAAAGACAGGCATATGTGGCTACAGCAGGCATATACAGTCTCGGACACTATGCAGCATGATTTTTCAAACCTGGCTGTTGATCACCCAGTATTTGGTTCTTGTGCGTTAAAAGAAGGAATGATGGTATTTTGCCATCAAAGCACATTTAAAGATTTCAAAGACCATGTTTTATTTTAATCTAGCAACAGCTTTGAGAGATAAATTAGCAAAGTGTTTTCATATGTTAGCTTTTATAGACATGAAGCTTCTATACGAAGCTAGTGGCAGAGCTGAGATTAGAACCCCTGTCTCTACATGGCTAGATCAGTATGTGTTGTCTGTTGGCTCCACAGATCTTCGTTATGGCTCAGGAATGGGAATGTCTTAATGACAACATTCACGGCCATCACCTTTGAAACATCCACACATGGGATCTCTCTTTGCCTTTGTGCCCAGTTTTAACTGAGCCACATCCCAGTAAAGACACTGAGAAAGATGAAGTCTTTAATGTCTTCAGCAGAGTTCTGGGAGCCCTCCATCCATGCTCAAGACTCCAAGGGCAGTGCCCAGCATTCTGTTAATCATATTTAAATTATCCATATATTCTTACTCTAGACATCCTGGATACTACTTTTGCATAACTGAAAATGCACAGCTTTCAGAAGCTTCCGTGGCTTCCAGACTGAGTGCAAAGCTCACCAGTTTTTAAAGTAATCATCTCTCCCACTTCACTGAAATAAGGCAAGGGAACTAAACAAAGCAAATGACACACACATTCACACATACCCAAATGCACTCCAGCAGACTTTTTTCGTCCAGAGAGAGCATCCTGGCTGCTACAAGACATAGATATATGACCTTCCCAACTCAATTCCCCTGGCTCATTTTTTAATAAAAAATGCATGCCATCACTAACAATAATGTAACTTTGGAGCTTGTAAAGACGACACTATGGAAGATTTGCCCCCATATAGCACTTACTTATACTTTAGGAAAAATAAATTAATTCAATCTGTGTACCTTCCTAGAAAGCTCCCAGTTCTCACACTGATTGAAAGGTACAATTTAGACTTCATGGAGGTATGTGCATGCCCAGAAAGATTAAACCAGTTGAAATACCTCTCCTTATACCAAATTTCTGTCTAATGATAAAATCCTAAGCTTTCCACAGCCAAAGATAAATACTCTTTCCTGTTTTCTGTCCTTCGGTTGGTGGCTTTAGGTCCACTCCTCTTTATCTCCTAAGCATGTCCCCCATTCCCCTGTTTCCCCTCCTTGGTAAGTCAGGAAGAGGTACTTCTCCAGCTTTGAGTGAGGTTAGGTGCAACTAATAGCTCAAGTCCCACTCTTCCTTCCTGCCTGCCCTGCCTTCCCTGACCTCCTAGGGGCATGGCCTCCTCTGTCTGGTGATCGTACCAATTGCTCCAGGGCTGTTTGCTCCCACTTTTCTGTTGCGGTTGACGACACATGACAAACCTAACCGCACGAAACCAAACCCAGATTTTTCTCAAGAGATGTTCTTCTGGGGAACAACATCAAAAAGCTGCCTGCCTCCATCTTCAGGATGACTGGGTTTTTGTTAGTTGCTCATAACTGGATTGAGCATAGTTCTATTCTACTGGGATGGGTACCACTAGTTACTACTTCACTTGTTCACTTAAAATAGCTCACTTTAGGAGAATCCAAATGGTGGCATTATATTGTACTAGTCCTCTGAAAACTATTGGGAGAGCCTTGGGCAGCAGAAGCACACAGTTTATATATTGATAGTTTCCCAGTAGCTTTCTTTCTTTTCTCATCATTGACTTTGACTTTTCAATACCCAACTTTATATAAATACCAATTGGAATTCCCACCATCATGAACCAATTCTAAGTTCAGCTGGGCAGTTTGGTAATAGTTTCCAAGACATTACTCCAGCTATTGCTGCCCAGTTTTGTTCTGATACATATGGACACCATTCACAAATTCCCACGGTGTGTGCCCATGATTGCCAGACAGTGATGAATAAAGTAGTAGCTACTCTGACCTCTGGCACAGAATACCTATTGTGGTTGTCAGCAGGCAATTAGACAATTCTTTCCCATGTTTTCCATTTTAGAGATAAAACCCAAACCAGAGTGTTTTTCCCTTGTTGTGATACAGAATCACAGGGTAGAGTAGGCAGGTTGTCAAAGGTACCCATGACCTCCTCCACACGTGACTGCCCTGCCTTCTCCCTGAATGCTGGAGACACTTCATTCCGTCTGGGCATTTGGGCAGGAAGACAGAGATAGGCTTCGTGAGTGGGTTGGTCTGGAGCCTTTGAACCAATAACAATCAGGAAAGCTAATCACTTGTAATAACATCCTAGGGTATTTGTACCCTACACCTGATTGACCCCACCTCTCTAAAATCTGTGATGGGTGTTGGTGCGGTTAGCTGTTTGCAAGTGGCCATTTTATGACAGGAAATGACCAGGTGGTATTAACCCTTTCCTTATGTCTAAGGGTGATGGCGAGTGTGCCTATACAAATTTCTATAGTATTTGGGTCCCAACCTAAAGTGAGGGTGGAGGGAGTTGGATTTTAGAAAAAGAGAAAGGGTTAAATACTACCCTGTGAAACTTCAAGGGCATTTTTTTTTTAAAAAAAAGATACAATGTGTCAGAATGATGATAATATTTGGAGCACTAATTCAAAATTCTTGTTAATGCTCTCAAAGGTCATTTTAAGAATATAAATTATAGGGGGATATAACCTGTATTTGGTGGGAGAATTTTTCTGATTTTCTAAGTACAATAAAATTAGCATTTTAAAATTGAACCATGTAATATTTTATACAAATGAATAGGATTTAAAAAAAAAAACAACAATAACAAAAGAAAGTCTTGATGTCTATTGTGGATATATATGTATACCAGTATATATCTCTATACATATGTGTATATATATATGTGTGTGTGTGTATATATATATGTATCCAACTTTACTAATTAATATACTGTACATATACACCCACCCTTAATCTTGTACATATTGTATATGTATATATATAAAATGGCCACATTTCTTGCGTGTGTCTGTCCCCGGAAGGGTGGACTGATTGTTTTTGGATGTCTGCAGCTGTTACCTTGAAGGATGCAATTTCATCTTTCATTTATTTTTCCCCATCTAGACTGTATCAGGATAAACTGTAACTCCAGTAAGTTTTTCCTCAAGTTTCATTTTGTTCTTAAAAAAGCAAAGAAAATTGACTTTATTTTGTTTACTGTTTTAGGAGCTGTTTTTTTGTTTGGATTGTTTTATTTTTCTGACAAGTTTTGAGGGGGATCCAGAAGTAACAAGTTGGAGGAGGGTTGGGGTGGTAGTTCTTGCAAGGACTCTGTGTGGCTAGGAGTGTGGTCTCTGGGTGGGGTAGATCCTCCTTTCTCTCCTTTCCTTGTATTTGTTCTATAAGCAGGAAAGGAGGAAAGGGCTGTGGATCCTGAAATCACTGGAAAGTGAATTGAAATGGTGACGCATTTATTGTCTTAAGGAACTAACCCCTGGGGTGAACAAAAAGCTTTAGTTTAGAGCAACCATCATGCACTTCTCCACTACCCAAAACTGTAGATGACAAATGCAAAGTTCATGACCCAGAGGTGACTGCCAGCTCTGACATTTCTCCCCTGGCCTTTATCACTGCAGTGGATGTGAGAGGGGTGGGCAAATCCTGTTCTTGGAGATGATGCAACATTTTAACCAAACAGATTCACTTTGGCTCCTCTGAAGGAGGATTCCTATTCACCATTTTCACCATTGCCCTTCCAAGCATCCCAGGTCTTGAAGAAAGATCCTAAGGACATACATGGCGAAAAGACTCATTATCTTTCCTCTGTCTTAAAAGTGAACATCAATTATAGGTGAGGAGGAAGGGAAAAAGGAAGACAAAGAGAGATGGAAATGAAAAGAATAGGTTACAATGATTAAAGGGGAAAATGTTCATTGAGTGCTCTTGTGTCTCACATCAGCTAGGCTAATTAATACTCACTGCTATAACAAGGCATTCTAAGATTTCAATGACTCAAAACAAAGGAAAGATTTCTTTCTGATTCAGAAGTCTAGTACCAGTTGAATGGCTCTCCCAGACTTTCCCTTTCATAGTCATAATTCAGGATCATAGAATTCTTCCATAAGATGCCCCAATTCCCTTGGAGATCTTAAGCTCTGCGTCCACAACAAGTTGAAATCTTGGGTGGTTAAAGAGTGTGCTTCGTTGCCTTGCCTGGAAGTAGCCTACATCACTTCTGTATGCTTGTCTTTGCTAGATATGACTCCATTCTGCTTGTAAAGTAAGTAGGAAATGTAGTCTTTGGAGCATGCAGGTAGAGCAATTTAATCAATTAAACATCCTAGCACATAGAAGCCATGGTATATCTGGGTTCTGCATTTTTCTTTACTAAAGTCTTCCTGGAGGAATGAAAGCAAAGAAAGGATAGCAAATTATCTAACTTGTGTCTTTCATTGACTTGCTAATTCCATTATACATGAATTATACAGATGCTGGATCAGCCTTTCTTTAGATATAGTATTAGGATGACATTAATAATGCATGGTTCTACACATTTTAGGTGACATGTTCTTTATAATAAGGAAAAGCAAAACAAATACTCCATAGAAAGTTTTATGCATGTCTTGGCATTGCTTTCACTTATTTTAAGCAATGTTCTATTTTGCTGTGTTAAAATATTTCTAATTAGGCAGAAATTTCTCATGATATTTAGATGGCTAAAAGCCTAATTAAAACAATCTTTGTTGGAGTTTTAGAAATTTGCGGTGTTTTAAACAGCATTTAGGGATATAATTTCCATTCCCTAAAGTTACTCATCATAAGCCTACAACACAGTCACATTAATTAAGTCTATAAATTTGTCCAGACATCACATAGGCCACATTAAGAACCTTGCCATCTTCTATCAGATTCCTCACTGGTCCATCTGCATTTACTCCCTGCTTCTACTCTTAGCCCCAGACAACTACTGATGTACATGTTTAATGCAAATTTACTCTTTCTTCACATTCCATATATTGGAATCTTATATGTAGTTACTTGAGTCTGACTTCTTTAAAAGTTACATCCTTCCTATGAGAGGATTATTTTTTTCTTTTTTTTTCCATTGACTTACAGGAAAAAATTAAAACAAAAACACACACATACCAGAAACTGAACATGAGGTTGGAGAGTCTGTTATCAAGAGGGTTGTCTTCTGAGATTTACTTGGAAAGAAGTAGAGACTATTTGATCAAGATGCCAGAAGGTGTTTTTCTATTAAGCTCCACTTGTCCATGGGGCCAATTTCATATACTCTGTATGACCAATCATGAATAGTACCAGAGATAAGTACTAGGATTATCTTGGCTAGGAAAGCCTATTGGAATGTTTGCTATTTAGAACATGGGAACCAGCACTGAGAGAAAAACATTGCAGCAAGGGTTCATTCTCCACCCACTTTGATCACAACATGAGAGTATTACTGGTCTTTGTTTAATAACTGTGTGGGTCACATTTAATTTGAGGTCTTGATTTTCAATTCTCTTGATAATCATCTTAGGTGTTGACAGTTAACCTTCACTGAGCCCATTAGAATAGTAGTGTACTTTCCAATGGTTGAACCATATTTGTTAAAAAAAAAAGAAAAGTTTCTTTAAACAAATCTAGGATCTTTAGTGCAAAAGTATGCAGAGATACCCCGAATAATGTGGAGTCACAAAGTAAATGTGATACATTTTCCCAAAGTAGATTTTAGTTTTGAATTGCTGTTGTGCCTGAAATTGGAACAAAAATGATGCATTATGCAGAAGCCTGTAATAAGTATAGATGTTTAAGGGATAAAAAAATAAAGGAACTCAAAGGCATTTTCTTTGTATGGCTTATCTTCTCTAATCCTTCTTTGGCATTGTTGGCACACAGATGAAAGATCTTGAGAACACTAGGCAACTAAATTTGGAGAGAAAGCATGTACAAGTGATTAGAATGTGTAATCCCCTATTCTTGTTGATTCCAGTCAGGGTGAATAGCTTAGTCTCATTTGACATTTGAAGTTGTTTCTTTAATAGGAATGTGGGTTCTTGCTGCTTCTTACCTGATGGTTAGCTAGAATTTCATTGTATACAAAAATCACATCACCTTGTAGCCTGGGATTGGAAGAGAGGAGGCTTTTCCTCTAAGCCTTGGCTTTGTCTCCTGCTGCCATCTCAGTGGAAGGCACAGAGTGCCATCCCTCAAGTTTTGAAGCAATCTTTGGTGATTTTCCCATACAGAAGGCATAGTGAATTGAATAGCAAAGCTTGAATACACATACAGAAACATGTCAGATACCCCTTTTCTAGGATATTGGTTCTGTGAAAAGTTACTCAGGAGAAATTCAGGATGCTATCTGCTGTGCATTTCCTGTTTATCTGTTGCAAGAGATTCTGGTAAATGGCTATTTTTAAGGGATGTTGTGACACCCTTAATGGGAAGAAACTGAAAACAGAGCCAGATGAAGGGAGTCTCCAGGCAAAAATGGAAATTTCTTCTGGAGCCCTTCCATCAGTGACCAAGCCTACTCCATGGTAGGAGTTTCTTATCAGGAAGAAGCAATGAGTTTCTACTCATATTCTTTCATCAATACTGTATCTCTCCTTTTGGTATCGCTGATGTTTTTTTATCATCACTTATTCTAAATCTTATAGCCTCTGCCTTTCAAATCCTTCTAGAGAAGCTCATCATAGATTCCTTCCTTGTTACTATTACCCATCATATCAGAGTGTACACGACAAGATCTTTGGTTAAATTGAGGCCATCTCTGGATTTAAATCATCTGCCAAGAATGTGTTTAAAGATATTTGATAAAGAAGATTATAGTGTAGAACTTATTTAAAAGTGCAAAAGAACAACAGAGTTGGCATTCATCATGGGGGATTGAACTCCAGGCTGACCTGGGAGTCAGTTAACAAAATCAGGTCTGCTATCTGGAGAATTCTGGAGGAAATTGCCTATTGCCATGGTTCCAGTTGCATGAGATGGGTCACACCCCCTGAGGCATCCCATTCTGAAAACAGGTAAGATGTTCTCATTGATTGGAATGTTTGCTGGGATGAAAGTATGGAACATGAATTGCTGACATCTACATTAAGTGCTTATGTTATAGCCCTCAACCTACTTAATCATTCTACAGGTTCAAGCAGTGTGACATATGAATGAATGCTAGACACTTGTGTTCACTAGCTGAGACTTTAGTGTAAATAAATCTAATGAATGTATATTGACAAATATTAATTTGCTTTATGTTTCTCAACCTGAACCTCCACTCCCAGGTTGGCTGCCCTATGGGAACTTTGAGCTTATGCTTCATTATTGAGGCAGATGTAGAATCCCCAATCTCCCTCACCAATTACTTTGACATTGAAGTCTTAATAATTTTTCTTTGATAGTTCCTTGTTTTTCTTAGTCATAACTAGAGGGCCATAAACACTATAGATGTTCAAACACTCAGGTGTCACCTGGGAACTTTTGTGAGCTTGCCCGTTTTCCATGTGAATGGCATCAACAGGAGGCATATACTATTAGAGATGTGTGGGCTTTGCCTTAAGGATTCATGCTTTCTGAGTACTGAGAAGTACTCAGGTTGCTCCCATTCTTGTATCAACTGCTTTATTACCTGCCTGGCCTTCTGCCTTGGCACCCTGCCTTCATTCTCTAAGGATACTCCATTTATAGTTTTGGCAAAGTCAACTGTGTGAATACTTTTTGCTCAGTTTAAGCATAGCTTAGCAGGGTGCATTTTATTGCATTAAATATTTGTCTTTTTCTCTCTTTCTGTTACTTCCTACATCCTGCCTCTCTTTTCACTTCCCCTCTGCCTCCCACTTCTCTCCTCTCCACACAGTAGAATCAGAATATGCAATTTTATCCTATGGCCTGATCGACCTGAGACTCACAAAATGTTTTATTTCATTTACCTGATTAACTCAGAAATGCTTTTCCCACACTCTCCTGAAGGCTGATTATTCAATCTTAAGTCTTTCTGGAAGGAAATTTCTGGAAGGAAACCGTCTTTGGTTCATTCCCACCATAGAGCTTTAATGGTTTGGGAAATCACAGGGTGAGATCCCATGCATGGTGATGCTTTATTGGGATGTCTGTGAGCATGGTACCCAAAAGTTCCCATTTTTATGCTA